AAAAAAAAAAAAAAAAAAAAAAAAAAAAAAAGGAGATTTAGGGTTAGAAACATGAGTTTGAATCCAAGATTGGCCACTTAACTAATTGCATGACTTTGGGCAAGTTACTTTCCTTTTCTAAGACTCGACTTTCCTCATCTGCAAAGTGGGGGGATGGCGGTGGCTCATATAGGATAATTAGGAGGGTTAAGTGAGACAACACCGGGGCGTGTCCAGCCCTGTGCTGAAGGCAGAGTCAGCGGTTCCTGAATGAACGCCAGCTCTGCACTTAACCACCGCGGGGAACGAGGTTAACCTGAGTTCAGGGATGAACGCTGGAGATTTGGACGGAGGCAGACAAGAAATGCGTCATCTAAGAAGTGGGATTTGGAGTTGGATGTGGGCCTTGAAGAATGGTTATGAGTTGCGGGGGGAAGAAATGGGGAGCACATTCAGATTAGGGGGGCATGGTGTAAGCAAGGGAGGGGTGGTTGTCATGGAAGAAAGGCATCCAGGGGGGATCATCGGTGGATCAGTCTGGCTGGAGTTGACAGTCCCTGCAGGGGGAAAATGAGAGAGGAATTAGCAAAGGTCAGCGGGGGCCAGTTTGTGGGGGGTCCCGAGAGGCAGGCTATGAGCCCAGATGGCTTCCTGTGGGAAGCCCTGAGTGGGTTTTTGGAGCTGTGAAAATACAGGAAGGAAGCAAACATTCCTTTCCCACTTCCCAACTTCTCCATAAATGTGTTGTCACTGCTCCCCACCTGCTTTTAATGAGGCAGGTGCAATGAAACGGATCCACTCCACAATGCAGGGATGCCTGGGATTTGGCTCCCAGCTCTGGGAAGTTGAGGACTCTCTGCAGACACGTTCCGTGGGTGGGAAAGTGGGGGGAGGTGGGTAGGTAAGAAGGGGGTATGGAAAAAGTGGAAAGGAAATTTCGGCCACCTTTCTCATAACTCATATTACCGAAACGATTTTATTACAGGCGTCCCATCCCCACCCTCACGCAGAAGCCCGCATTCACTAACCGCCTTGGCAGCTCTGCTCACTGGCAAAACAGTCACCCCTTGGCAGTCTCAGCCGCCCGGAAGCCAGCATTAGGTCATATAATTAGGAGTATTCACAAAGGACCTAGTTTTAAAAAAAATTGCGGTGTCTCTCAGATCTCCACTCAATTACAGCATAATTGGGAACAGAAATTCTTTGCTTGGAGCAGCCCTTGGCCCTGGACATCCCCCTCAGGCCAGTCCAAAATCCATTGCACCACTGCTCCCTCCCCTTTTTAAAAAAAATGGTGGTAAAACACACATAACATATAATTTACCGTCTTAACCATTTTTTAGTATACAGTCACATTGCTGTGCAATCATCNCAGGCCAGTCCAAAATCCATTGCACCACTGCTCCCTCCCATTTAAAAAAAAAAAATTGTGGTGTCTCTCAGATCTCCACTCAATTACAGCATAATTGGGAACAGAAATTCTTTGCTTGGAGCAGCCCTTGGCCCTGGACATCCCCCTCAGGCCAGTCCAAAATCCATTGCACCACTGCTCCCTCCCATTTAAAAAAAAAAAATTGTGGTAAAACACACAAAACATATAATTTACCGTCTTAACCATTTTTTAGTATACAGTCACATTGCTGTGCAATCATCACCGCCGTCCATCTGCAGAACCTTTTTCATCTTCCCAAACAGAAACCATCCTCATGAAACAATAACTCCCATTTCTACTCTCCCACCCCCTGGCAACCACCATTCTACTTTTTTTTTTTTTGGCAGCTGGCCAGTACAGGTATCCAGACACCTTTCTACTTTCTGTCTCTAGTCTCTATGATTTTGACTACTCTGGGGACCTCATGCAAATGGAATCACACAGTATTTGTCTTTTTGTGACTGGCTTATTTCACTTGGCATAATGTCCTCAAGTTTCATCCAAGTTGGAGCATATGTCAAAATGTCCTTCTTTTTTTTTTTTTTTTTTTTTTTTTTTTTTC